GTATTCGTTCTGATTTTGGATAGATTCGACGCGCGTGGAGGCCAATTCAAGGGGCAAACGCGTCGTGAGCTAGAGAATTAGCCAGTTCGAGGTGAGTAATGGTTGTAAATGATGTTCTGAGGGTTTAAAACCCCGGATTGCACATCGTAGTGCTATATTGAGGCAAGATACGCGCTGGATGATGAGCGTGGGGTCTTCACTACTGGGGATTGTGACTTGGTCCATCCCGATTGATGATTTTACCGAATATTTGACTGAAATTCATTTGTTACCATCATGATTTGGGCTGATTGCCATAATTGGGCTTCGTGCCAACTATTTGGACCCTTCGGGGATTTTTATCACTGTTTCCTTACTGCTTGACTTATTATTTGAACTCAGTCCTGTTGATATCTACTGTTTTACAAACTCAGCCACTTTTACTCAGATTTGAAACTTAAATGATATTTCTACATCATGTTTTGGGCTGAGAACTACTGTTTTACTAATGCCCAAGGGGCTTATGATGATTTCTGGACTGAGTGAGGCCGAGGGCCATATGTGAGGATATGCTGAGTGATATGAGGCCGAGGGCCTGAGATACTATTTATGCCATGCGGTGGCTTGAGTGATGTGAGGATATGTTGAGTGATGATGCCACGAGGTGGCTTGATATAGCGCTTGGGCCGTAAGGGGCCCCTCCGGAGTCTGCACACCCACAGTGAGCGCGGGTACCCATGTGATTTGAAACAGTGGTAACAATGACACTATTTGATGAAGTTGGTCAGGTAACAATGACTGACCATTATGCTGAGTGATTGTGAGGTAGCCCGCGGGGCTGAGACTGCACTGAGAGTGAGCCCGAGGGGCTGATACTATGCTGAGCGATTGATACTGTGCCCGAGGGGCGGATTTCTACTTGTTAATTACCTGTTAAATTACCTGTTTTACTTGTTTTAAAAAAGGAATATCATTTGATTTCTTCACTGATTTACTGCTTTAAGTGATTTTACTGCTTGATATGGAATTGCTTTGTGCCTTTACGTGTTTTCATACTTTCAGCCATTATTTGTAATTATTACTCACTGAGTTAGAGTACTCACATTACTCCCTGCACCATGTGTGCAGATTCAGGTATAGCAGAGTCCGCACCTGAGCGCTGATTCCTTCCAGGCTAGGCAGTGATTTGGAGTTACGAGGTAGTTGTTGACGTCTGCAGCCCCTTGACTCTCTTATCCTCTATCATTTATGTTTTCTTCAAACTGTTGTATCGGATTCCGTACTTTGTAGACCTATAGTAGATTCCGTAATAGCTCATGACTTGTGACACCCCGGTTTGGGCTGTGTCGGGATGGTTCCTGCTGTTATTATCGTTAAATTCCGCAATTTATGAACATTATATTATATGTTATTACTGTTTATGATGATTAACTGTTTAAAAGAGGTGTTCCGTTTTGGTCTGGCTGGCCTTGTCTTCACGAGGGGCGCCATCATGACTGGGTTCGAGGATCGGGTCATGACAGTCTGCTGGAAAAAGTTTAAGCGAATGTAAATACGCGGTAAGACCAGAGACGGATCTAAGATTTTTAAGTGCACCACTAAAGAAAGGAGAGAAAAAAGGTATTAAGTGGGATTTATCTCTGCTCATCTAGATAAATAACTCAACATTCAACAAGTGCACCATATAGTCTCTTTGGAGCATCAGTGTCAGTAGATAATATTAGATTAATTCTAAAAAATATGTATATAAAATACCTAGTTTGACGAAAATACTATGGATTCATGTGCACTGTATACTTGCCTATGAATCCGCCCCTGGGTGGGACAGCACCGTGAGCCGATTCTTTCTTTCACATTTTGCAGCCCACCAACTTTGACTTTTTTTCTTTCTTCTTTCCTTTTCTTTCATTTCATTCTTACTTTTTCTCTGTCTTTTTTCTACTTCTTTTTGTCTTCTTTTTTTTTTTTATAGTGAATAGGGTTGGTTCTCATCAATCCTGGCTCAACCTCTCCTCGGAAGAGTAGTACTTTGAAACAATACCATTACACCACTATTGTTCTTCAAAGTATTCTGCTGGTCATGAGATCTTTTTTTTTTTTTCAAGGACTGGCCATGAGAAATCTGATTCCATGGAACTTAAGCACTTCAGCACGGTTATCACTGATATCATTGAATCCTCGGGACTGAGTTGCATCAAACTCGACTGCGATGAGGTGATTAGTAGCATTGCTATTATTGGTTTGGTTCAAGATCCCAAGATACTAACCTGGAGAGTTCTTTAATCTGATAGGATGTGGATAGAAAGCATGGCCTGTCACGAGCTCGATATTGCTAAGCTGCAGCAAACGATCAATCTGATCCTTCCTAGAAGGGAGCAATGCGCAACCTGCTGCAGCCAATAGTCAGGAAGAACTGGCAGTTGGTTTCTGCCATTTCAAAAATGACATGTAAAAGAAATTACTTCAAAATGATTGTCAGGAGGTCCAAGTAATTGAGCCAAAAAAATTTAATTTTGAATGTCTGCTGGTTCTTATTGAATGCGCAACTTTATACTCGTTTTGCCACCCCTGCCCCCAAAGTTTGTAGGGTGATTTTTCTTTTTTCTTCTTCTTCAACTTAATTTCAATTAACTTTCCAGTCAAGGAAACAAATATAAACTCATAGGTCTGTACTTCTTTAACTTGTATAAAAATATAACAGAAATCTACTACGAAATATTTCAATTAATTGAAGACGACAACAGAAACTAAATTTGGAAAATTAGCCCAATGCTGGGCAATTGTTAATGCTGAGATATGCATTACAACTTTATTTTTCTTACCGCTACGAATCCCACAATCAAGTACAAAATCATAGAGACCAGTTGTACAGTCAAGTACAAAAGTATAACCATTAACATGTCAGAAAGTTTTCTTCTTCAATGATACGGTCACAGCTGAGTGCAGATGGAGTCTTAAGCCACCTTAAATGTGCTCTTCTACCAATAAGTGCCTTCTCCAGAGCAGCTATTCTTAAGCAGGCTCATCAAAAAGTTGAGCCATTGAACCCGAAAAATTGGCGCTGCACACAAAGATAAGTAGTTCTGGTTCAGATATCGCAATAACAGAACCTTTACATTGATGTACACACGGTCACATATAAAAAACTATGAAATGAAAATGCAAGATCTAAGCACAAGAATCTACCTAAATGCAGCAATAGCACAAGTTTGTGCTGGTTGAGCATAAACGATGCTTACTAAAAAGTAGGTACAAGCACAATGTCTATTCGTACTGTTCGGATGATTAGATTCCACCGAAATAGAGCCAATTCCAATAGGACAATAGGAACATTGGTGCAACGAAAACAGGACATTTTAACCAATCAGCAATCAGTTCTGAGCAGGACTGCATAAATGGTGAACAACCAAATTCCAGTTGAAACAGTATCTTAGGAAACTAATGCTGTTTGGGAGTAATCAACGGAAGGACATCACTTCAAAAGTTCTATGCAACCTCATCTAACGATAATGTTGAAAGTTGTTTTCAAGATGGTTAACTTTGAGTGGTTCTTCTCCACAGATTTCATCTAATGAACACACTTTACAGCTAATTCAACTTATCTAGAGAGTGATCCTTACTATTAAACAACATACAGTATGCTCGATACATGCAAAAAACACAAACAAGGTCTAAACTTCCCCAGGGTTGATTGAATCGGTTCTGTGAGTCCAGGCGTATAATAGGAAGCAGTAGATGATTCTTTTAGTTGTTCAAGACAAAAAGAAGTGCATTACACATAACCTAATTAAGACCAACTTGTCTGTCTCCTGTAGTGGCCCATGGACGGGTTGGGGTAGGGGGAAGACAAAGAGATCCTTTCCCTCTTTGTTCTCGTGAAGACTTACCGGAGAATCATAAAACTTTATATAGAATCTGTTGCTGTCTATTGACAGCTTTGTCTGAAGAATCTCGGCAATGGTTGAACTGAGTTTTCCATTCACACCAGGTCCAAGACCCCCAATGGAGATTAATTCTCCGTAAGCAGCAGGAGCTTCAGTACCAGCGAATGCAATAGGAGCTCCTCCATTCAACAAGATCATCACATACTGGGGAAAAAACAAGTAGGCATAGGTTAACATTCTTCACAACAGCAAAGTTACTCTACCATAGAGCGAAACTACGAGATAATCAGATTATTGCTCAGTTGCATCTGTATTTAAAGATTCATGGTAGGCATTTCCATATTCAGGGGAACATATCAAAATCTCTTTGTGGTAGTGGCTTAGTATACCACTTTAATTTTTGTACAATTTAATTTATCTTCATATATTGGAAATCTGGTCCTTACAATCAGCAAAACCTGTCATTTTAAGTCACCTCACAATTGTGGGAAGCTAGTATTCTACTTATTGGAGAAAGGGTACTAAATTTATTTTTCCTGCTGTTTTGGAGATAAGTAAATGCTTAGAGAGCAACGATGTTTTTCCTTTATACTAGCACAAAGAAATAGAGTAGACTGAATGAAACCACCCACCCCTCAAAGTTTTCCATGCCACAAGAAGTGGCAACAAAACATCTATTGGATAATTTGGATTCTGAATTTGTTATCTACCAACATAAATGTATTACGAAACGAAAGAACAGTTCCTTTAAAGTTGTGAACCCCAAACCAACAAACAATTATTTACAAGCTGGCAATGAAGGTTATCCTAATGGGTAAGTCAAACTGCTCCGTCTCAGGTTAAAATCCTATCAAAATATGGGTCTGCATCCAATTTAACTTCCTACTACCAATATTTGTAATACTAATATAGTTTCAATTCAATTCAATAGCTAAGAATGGATAAGCACAGGTAAAAGTTCTTTTCCTTTTTTTTACACCTCATCTCTAAACATGTTCCCACTTAACCTCCACATGACTACCAAGCGGTGTCGTGGGATGGACGCATCAGTCCATTGTTAACCAGATGTCTCGAGTTCGAGCTTGATAATGGAGAAACCCCTTTTGGACTCTATGCAGCGCGAATCTAGATTAGTTGGGTAGTGACTTCGGGATTGCAGATGGTAAATACTCCACATCACTCAAAAACCTCTGTTAATCTCCACATGAGTGCTGGAGCTACATAGCTCCAAGGGGTGGCCCCCTTCGCCCGAAAAATATTCCCTTACTTCTTTGCTTATTTACTTCTTTAGAATTTGATACCCCTTAATAAAAATCGAGGCTCCGCTACTGCTCCACATGACTAGAATTCTCCACCTACTAGCAAACCAATCTCATTTCAATGTCACTTAACTTCACGACTCGAATTCCCAACCTACCCATTAAAAGTGAAGAAGACTTATAAACCACTAAACCAATATTGCTGTCTATTCAGTAAAAAGAAGTTGATACACTTTTTTTCAGCGGAATTTCATCAAGCAGGTATCAGGCAATGCGAAATATGAAAACAATATGACACCAATACAAATAGGAAAAATGAGGGACTTAACTGACTCGGGTTTGCCAATAATTTTGGCAACAGCTTTAGTAGCATCTTTGAGAATATCAGAAGCTACCACTGCATCTACTGGTACATTTGTAAACAGATTCAGAGTCGGCATTTGTAAAGGTTCTTCTGGGTGTGTGTTGGGAAATGGGTGGTTTGTAGTTAAGAATCAGTTGATAGATATTGTTGGGAGATGAAAATAGGAGAGCTTCTCTCTTGTTTTTGTATTTTAGCCGTTGTGATCGCGACTTCTTTTTTACGTGTCGTTTGGTTTTAATACGGGCTTATGTAAGGATAAGTTATGGTGGAATTATTTTTTATTCATTGTTTGGTATGTTGTAGTATTAAATATGGCAATTGCATAATTTGTAAGAAGAATGTATAAGTTTTACCGGTGCTAATTACTCTATCTTCTATAAGGTATAAGTTATCTCAGTGTTAATTTTAATCCCGACATAAATTATACCTAATTTGCTAACTAAACAAAGCATTAAGATGATATTAAATTTTTATATTAGCATTATACCTTCTTATACCTCATACCAAACCACCCCTTAGAGTTCACCTTATTTACACTCACAGTGCAAGGAAAATTTATAATACCAAATCACTTTAATTTGTGAAAACATGTAACTCACCAATTTCTGAGACTACAAATCTTACTATTTGTGAAAGATTACTTGTAAATACTTTTTGGGTGATCTAAAACTGCCAAAAAAATGTATAATTAAGAATTTAAGTTCCATGCACTAACGATGTACTAAATATTTATATCATCATCGTTTAAAAGGTAATTACAAATAACTCCATTTAATGGCATTGATTGATAATCTAAATTAAGTATAGTAAATAACATGTTATTTACAGTTTATATCGTTTCGTAATATATCGTATCGTATTGTATTGTACTATATCGTTTGATAAATACAATGTTCGGATAGATTGAATCATTTAATGTAGTTTCATGATATTATGCACGAGCAATATAAAGAATAAATTTGCAATATTATAAAGAAAAATTATACTACGGGGTAAATTTATTATATAAAAAGGTATGATAAATGACAAAAAAAAAATTATTTAATAAGAGTGAAGAATGAGAAGAGAGAAAAAGACAAAATAACGATGCAACCATACCAAATCGGTCGTTATATAAAGTGGCACATTTCGTCGTTACGTAACGACGGATTTAACGATACAATATAATAAAATTTAAGTAACAACCAAAACAAACATCGTATTTAAAGTAACAATACGATACAATACAATACGTAACGACCATCCAAACAAGCTGTTAGGATGTTGTACTTCGATATTCTAATTAGTCCTATAAGAGGCAAAAGGCGTAAAAAGAAATGTTCTATCGTAAGGCAGGATGTTTGGTGCGACATATAGGAAATGAGAAAATGAATTTTTATTTTTTAATATTACTGAAACAAAATTAAAATATTAGAATAGATTAAAATAAGAAAAGTATTGGAATAAAATTCACCAGAAAAAATAATCAATACCAGCTGTTAAAAAAAATACAACAATACGTTTTAGCTATGCTGATGAAGTCTATAATTACAACAACAACAACGACCAAGTGAAATTCCACTAGTGCGATCTGGGGAGGGTAGTGCGTACGTAGACCTTACCCCTACCCCAAAGGAGTAGAGAGGTTGTTTCCGAAAGATCCTCGGCTCAAGAAGACAAAAAGACGAAAGGAGACAATATAAGTAACACCATAGAAATCTATAATTAGTCAGACCGAATATGCTAGTAGTGCATCACAATTGTTGAGTATATTCAACTTATTGAGGGTGGCATTTTACAATAGCAAACTGGAAACAAGGATTTCCATAGGAGAGAAATGTTCTTCAGTAGTGATGGACAGATTTTTGAATTTCACAGCTCAACCAACTGATAAAACAACCAGACCTGGACTTTCATGCTGCCGTTTCCACGTAAGTTGCAGAAAATTATGAGTTGTTATTCGGTTTCTATCCCTCAGAAACTGCATAATTTGGTAATTCCAATCAACAAGAGCGAGCTTTGAGCTAAACTCTTTTGAGTGTAGGCTCTGCTTCTGGAATTCACCAGTAACCATTGTCGATCCCATCGAATCCTATTTAAATGCACCAAGACAGTCAATTTCTCAAGCAATAATATGAATGACGAAACAAGTCTAGCAACAAAATATATTGTTCAACAATTTATTAATGAAAAATGTCACTTACTCAAAAGTAAAACATGAAATTGAACCATAACACAGGTGTTATTTGGTTGGTGGGATAAGGGATAATAATTCTGGGATAAAATGCTGACATTATTTTATCCCACATCTGATTACATTTTCGAATTCCTGAGTAATAATCCAGGGATTAGTTATACCACAATTGTGGTGTAATTCTTATCCTACATTGAGGATGGGATAACAATCCCAGGATAAAACACTAAAAGGTCAAAGATGCCCTTCTCCAAGGCTTTTCTTCCGAAGTCCTTTAAAAAAATCAAGGTTAAATTTGGAAATAAAGGTTATCCCAATTCATCTAATAAAACCAAACACATGTTTTATGTTATATCTCGTATATCCCATTTTTAGTCCAACGAACCACACATCTACTAAGAAAAGTATATCCACCAAATAATTCCATCATTATTTAATCCATGTATTATATTCCCGTCACCGTAATCCCGGGATAACTAGTTCCCCAATCAAACGACCCCAAAGAGTTTGTCCGAACTACTCCATATTAGAAGTTACTCTTTCACACCTTTTCTTTACTCACCAAACATTCAAAAGCTACCAGAATATCCATAGGAGAGAAAAGTTCATTTGAATAAGCAGAAGCTGGATGGTCACCACCAATTTTTTTGGTGGCAAAGTAACAAATATAAACTTCATCACAGAAACAAAATAACTCCAAACAAGGGCAGCAATGTAATTTAAGTCGACTAAATAAGATCAACAGGATGAGGATGGCAATGGCATTACTCAAAATTGTTAAAAATATCAGAAATTATCGAGAAAACGGTACACCATTTACAGCAAATTGCAAAGCATTTCACAGTGCAGAAAAAATGAAATTCCAAATTTGCCCCCATCTGGTTGGCAAGGAGGGAAATGACGAGCATTGTATTCCCTCTTCTGATATATAGTAAATTCTTTTCGATGATTCTACCTACTTTTGAGACACATCATTTTTAGGCATGTTTAACTATGTCGAAGCTAGAGCTGTGGCATACTACATACTCAAAACCTGCAGACATTGCAGACCAAAGTATTTTTTTCAGGTACTACATGGGTAATGCATAAATAACTGCAAAGCTATGATACTAAGCATTATGGAAAAGTAAATAAAACGAAACTGAAGAAACTTTTTTGAAGTTTCTTGTGGTCCGGCCCTTCCCCGAACCCCGCGCATAGCGGGAGCTTAGTGCACCGGGCTGCCCTTTTTTGAAGAAACTTTGACGATCATAAAGATGCAATATGTTAAATAAAATTTCATTGAGTTCTTGCCCCCAGCACATCTGAAAATGTAATTGTGGATAGCACATTGACTCTTCGTTTATTTGAGCATCAATTGGCAACCATTTGAACCCGTGCACAATCTCCATAACCACAGAACCATCAAAGGAAATACAGAAGAATTATATAGGTTATGAACTCAGGGGTGGAAAAGCAAGCATGTTAAGAGGAAAGTTCTAATGCTCAAATGTTTCAACTCCCACTTAAGTATATTTCACAGTTTTTGAATTTTCAACTCTTCCTGTGACAATATATGAAAAGAGAATGTGCATATGGGACTCACATATTGAAAAAAATAAAAATATTGTAACTAATGATCCAAAAGTGAAGAAAACATACTTTTCGATGGAAGGTTTGAAAAAACACGGATAACTCGGCTCCTTTCACTGCATCAGCTCAGCATACATAGACGTCGGTTTCCATGAGCAGCAAATCGAACTTACACACCGACTAGGATTTTCCAAAGAGATATTATAATAACCACATTTCAGTCAGTGCTTCAAGAATCTCATCTAGGATGAAGGAGAATATGTCCGGAATTTCATGGACTGCTCTCCAAGGCATCTGATTCTGGTGTATAACCATGCTCACGCAATCGAGCAGTTAAGGAATTCAATCCAGCATAAATAAGGTTCCCTTCAGGATGAGACTTATCAGCAGTAATAAAGACATGAACACCATTATTAAGTTCAATCCAGCTGCAACCAGGTGTCTTCCGTACATTTTGAAGCCTCATTGTGTCTCTTACCTCTAATACCTCTTCATAGCGACCAGTCTGTCCATAAATATTTGATAATATGACATAACTTCCACAATGTTCTGGTTCAAGGTCAAGTACCTGTTTTGCAGCGACCTCAGCTAGATCAGAATTACCATGGAGACGGCAGGCAGCCAAGAATGCCCTCCATACAACAGAATTGGCCTTAATGGGCATCGCTAATAACAACTCATAAGCAGCTTCAAGCTGCCCGGCACGACCTAGCATGTCAATCACGGAGGTATAATGTTCAATAGAAGGCACAACGCCATACTTCGGCTGCATTTGTGCAAGAAATTCTTTCCCCTGTTTTATTAGGCCAGAATGGCTACAAGCTGACAACACACCAACGAATGTGACATCATCAGGCCTCAATTCTGCCTTACACATATCAGAAAACAATTCTAGTGCCTTGATGCCGAATCCATGCATGCCGTACCCCTTAATCATAATGTTCCATGATGCGACATCTTTGTAATTCATCATATCACAGATCAGTTGAGCTTCACGCATGCTTCCACATTTTGCATACATGTCCAAAATTGCATTATCAATGTAAGTATCGTCGTATTCTCTGTAATCAGCGTCTTTCCTCACTCCATTAACAATCATGTATGCATGAATCTCCCTACCGTGCCTTAATGCCGCTAAATGAGCACAAGCAGGAAGAGTGGTAGTGACAGTCACCAAATCCGGACGAACTCCAGCAGACAACATCCTTTTGAAAAGCCTCAACGTTCCATCGTGATCACCACATTGTTCATGCACACAAATTACCGAGTTCCAAGAAAATATATCCCTCTCCACCATCGTCTCAAAAACCTCCAGAGCTTCAGTAACACAGCGACATTTACCATACATGTCAATTAGTGCATTCGAAATGGCAACCCCCAAATCAAACCCCTTCTTTATCACAAACCCGTGAATCACCTTTCCATTATAAACTTCCCCATAATTTGCCAGAGCAGAAAGTACACCCGTTATAGTAAACCTGTTGGGAACAACCCCATCCTCAATCATCCACCTAAACACCATCAAAGCACTATTAAACTCACCCGTCTGAGCATAGCCATTGATCATCGCATTCCAAAGCACAACATCATCCCTCTCCAGCAACTCCTCAAACACATCTAATGCAAAATCTACCATCCCATATATCAAATAACTATGCAACAAAGCACTGCCAATGAACAAATCAACTTCTAACCCAAGTTTAAAAACTAACCCATGAATCTTTTTCACATCTACTACATTACAACAAGCCTTAAGCACACAAGGGAAAGTGAACTTATCAGGCACGATATCTACTACCCTCATTTGGCAATAGAATTCAAAAGCTCTTTTATTCAAGTCATTAGCAATCAACCCTGCTATAATAGCATTATAAGCAAACACATTATGACCAAGTGGTGAAGCATAGAACACAGATAATGCATACGATAACGAGTTGCATTTCGAGTACATGTTAATTAGGCTAGTAGTAGGCAGTGGAGATAAATTTAAATGGCCAAATCTAAGCATATGGCAATGGACTTGTTTCCCTCCTGTGAGGTTCTTGTCATTGGCACATGATTGAAGTGATACAATGCAAGTCTTGAGGTCAAAAGACTTGTAACTAATGGATGAAAAACTGTTTGAATATTGACACTGTGCTTTAAATATCGACAAAGACTTCAAAAGAAAGGTTCTTTGGCTCATTTAGGAGTAAAAAAATGATTTTTCTCAAGAAATATGCATATGGGTATGAAAAAAATTGATTTTTCTTAAGAAATATGCATATGGATATTATGAAAAAATTGATTTTTTTAAGAAATATGCATATGGATATGAAAAAAACGATCTTTTTCAAGAAATATGCATGTGGGTATGAAAAGTTGTGCACTACTAATGCTATACAACATCTGCTAGCTCAAAACTACAAACCACCCACGACCCGGAAAAATTAAGCAAACATAAATTATTTATCATTTTCTCTATACCCATTTTACATCTCAAGCTATTATTCTATTCTTAATTGTAATTTGTGGAAAAGGGAACAAATTTTTTCCAAGAAAGAACTTGAAGTTGAAGCCCCTAATTTATTTTGAGAAGTAGAGAAAACCAAAGAATCATGCTGTTGTAATTAGTTAAGGGAGTGAGGAACAAGAATCAAAATGGGTGCTGAATAGTAGTACTACTTGCCATTGAATTGAAAGGATGAAGAAGATGAATAAATATCATAAATTCACTTTTTTGTTTGCTGATAGAATTTGCCAGGAATGGTCGAAGGAACTGTGGCGCCGGGGTTTGGAGGAGAGGGTTTGAATTGGGGGTTTTAGGAGGGTTTAGAAAAGTATTTTCTTTAATTTTAATTTTTTTTAATTATTTTTTTATTTGGGGGAAACGGAAAAGGGTCATATCTATCCTTATACTATCGAAAATAAGTTATATTTATCCTTCGTTTAAGTTTCTTAGTAAAAATAACCTTACCGTCATACTTTGAGATTAGCATTACTCCTCAGACGTTAAATCCTTCTTCAAAACTTTAAAAATACACGTGGCACGATCTGATTGAATGTAAAAGACCCACCCCACTTTTTATTTTGAACAGCCCGACCCAACCAAATAACCCCACATCTTGGAGCGGGAAAAAATCTCACTTGTTCCCAATATTCCGGTGGCTCTCCGACAAATCCGCTTCCTGTATCACTTTCACAAAGCTCTGCAGATATGGGTCAATAGAATGAAATCGTACCAGCACAAGAGCATCAAATCATCGCTTATTCCCAGTCTCAGCTTTATTCTTATCATCTTTTTTTCATCTCTGTTTTTTCTTTAATCCACTGTACATGTACATTAGAAAGTTATGGGTAAATAAATTCGTTAGTGTTAAAAGGTTAAGAAAAAAATATGTACTGTTTAAAAGAATTGCCTGCTTTCATAATAATATAGGAGTTAGTCTTTTAGATAAATTGAGTTGCACTAACTTTCATTACATATAACGCCTAAGCATAAAATATTCTTGAATTTGTTTATATCTCAAGCAATTGTAGAATTTAAATATGACAGTTTTACCATGAAAAATGGAGGCAAAGATGTCAATATGGTTTTTAATCGAGGAAAACCCTATACAAGAGAAATATTCCTCTGATGCACTACTGTTGAGATATTTGGTGTCTCTTTTCATCTCAATATCCTCTTTCGTTTAGATAAGACTAGATTTTCGATATTCCATGCATGCCTACTGGTTGATTCATCTTGGCCAAAAAATTTAGAAGACTATTTGCTTAAAATCTGTTCTGGTGAAATGTTACTGTTCATTGTCTTTCAGCATTTGCCTTTCCCTCTCCCTTTCCACTCTCAAAGCTGACAGCTTGGCAGCAATACGAGTACCACGACCTTTCAGAAGCTGTAAATAAATCAATGAATGTGCAAACGACCTTTCATCATCATCCCAGTTCAGAAGTTGTAACAAATCACAAAGAAAGGTGAGGGGTTTCGGGCGGAACGGGTTATTTGGTTGGATCGGGTTGTTTAAAATGGAAGGTGGGGTTGATCTTTTACCTTCAATCATATCATGCCACGTGTGATTTTTAAGTTTTGTAGAGCAATTTAATGTCTGGGGGTTAATTTTAATCCCAAAGTACAACGGTAAGGTTAATTTTAATAAGAAACTGAAACGGAGGGTAGATATAACTTATTTTCGACAGCAGAACCATAAATATGACTCTTATCCGTGGGGGAAAAGTACGAAAGAACGAGGTTTTTTTTTTTTCCTAAATGGAGAAATTTTCAAGGTCACTGGTGCAAGTGGAAACTCTAATTCGTATGAGACCGTCATTCTATTATGTTAACACTTAAATATTAATATTTTATTTGTGACAAAATATTTATTTGTGAGTTCGAGTATGTCGAACTAACATAGGTGTTTGGGCATAAAAAATAAAAATTTGAAAAATATAATTTTTAGGTTAGGTGAAAAAAAAGTATTAAAAATTCGAAATTGTGTTTGAACATGTATTTTACTTGATAAAAGAGTATAATTTTGTGTGGGCAAAAGAAAGTTTTACATTAAAAAGTGGTTTTGTTGGAAACTCATCTTCAAAACGATTTTCATCTATATAATCAAATTAATATTTTGAAGAAAAAAGTTCAAAAAAAAAGGAAAAAGAAAACTATGGACAAACAGGTTGCGATGGTTATGCTTACGCGACACATTCAACGAAGGTGTCATGGTGCATGTTATTTGCCGATGACATAGTGTTGATTGATGAGACGAGGAGTGGGGTCAATGCGAGGCTGGAGGTCTGGAGGAAGTCCGCTGAGATGGATGTGTGGACATACCAGGAGAGATAAGATTAGGAACTAAGTTAATCGGGGCAAACTGGGAGTGGCCCTTGTGAAGGACAAGATGCGGGAGTTGAGGCTGAGATGGCTCGGGCACGTACAAAGGAGTACTACGGATGCTCCTGTTAGGAGGTGTGAGAGGCTAGCCGTGGTGGGGTTGAGAAGGGGTAGAGGAAGGCCGAAGAAGTATTGGGGAGAGGTGATTAGGCAAGATATGACGCTACTTCAGCTCACTGAGGGCATGATTCAGGATAAAAGGGTGTGGAGGTCAAGATTAGGGTAGTTGGTTAGTAGGTAGTCGAAAGTTCCCCGTTCTTTTTTAGTAGTATTAGTAGCTCCCTTATTTTTTCGTTCGCTCTGTGTATCGTATGTTCCAGTTTGTTATTTTTTCGTTCGCTCTGTGTATCGTATGTTCCAGTTTGTTATTTTTTCATTCGCTCTGTGTATCGTATGTTCCAGTTTGTTACTGTTTGATGTTATTTTCTTTTACTAATTTCGTTGTTGTTGTTGTTGTTACTATAGTTTTCTCCCCTTTTCCTTATAGTCCTTTGTCCCCCTATTCTTTCTTTCTTCTCCGTCTTCTTCCTTTCTCTCTTTTTACCTTTTCTTGAGCCAAGGGTCTATTTAAAACATTGACAAGATTATACTGGGATCACAGATAACAAAGCAAAATTGACAAGATTTACAGTCGATGCAGAAGGTTAACATATAACCCATTTTGAAATGGCAAAGAATGCTCTCAACTTAACAGATAACAAAGCAAAATAAAACATTCTAAAGAACAAATTGGTCAAGGTTCATTTATGTGAAAACCCAACACCCCTCCAGCGAGGCAAATTGCAACTGATCATTTATATGAAGTGGCAAGTTGCAACATTTACAAAATAAAGATTGAAAAAAAAAATAGAGAGAGATAATACTTTGAGAACCACATCTTAACCATTACACTTGCAAAATTCAATGTTATCGTACCAATACACATGTAAGAACTACAAGATATGGTGAGCTACTGAAAAGCTATCAATACATTGCAGTAAGAGACATCAGATTAACATAGCATGAACGGCCTGCAGTTGCTTCAGTGTTTGTTCTGGCACCAAATGCACAAGAAAAACATCAGGACAGGTAACTACGAGTTCCAAGACTCGGGGCTAATCTGTTCATGACCTGTAGCTACTGTACCCTCCAGCACCAAATGATCCATAGCCGCCGCCGCCACCACCACCATATTGCTGTCCGCCGTATGAAGAAGATGAATAGGAGCCGCTGCCTAGGTTAGAGTAAGAAGACTGCCTCAAGCCTGTATCTAATTGGCCATAACTGCTTGCAAGTGATTCTTTGTGGCTACCCATAAATTCCTATAATGACGATTCATTCATCAGTTACATTGCAATTCGGAAGAACACTATAGAAACTCGACAATCGCATATAACTTACAGGGCTTTAAATGTGTTACATAAAAATGTGAACCACTTATACCACAACTTGTTGGCTTCTTGAAATTATTTTTTATAAAAAGAGGAAATTGAGATTACCTGGATAAGTTGCTGAGCTGTCTGAACCTCCGATGACGTCCCTTTTATTTCCACAGTGATTTCATCAGGTAAGCCCCTACTTTCTTGCACTGTGAGAATGGCACCACTAGTACGCCGTATATAAGCAATGTTTGCTCCCCCAATGCCAATGATATCTTCTGCATAAGCTAGTGGTATTTGCATTTGAACAGTTTGGGAAATCTGCAAAGGAAAAACAAGATAAGATCGCCAAATAAAAGTTTATTGTTTTGACATAACAGAGCAAAAGTTTTCACACATCGAAAGAAACATAATATTAGCAACTTTAGCGTAATTTAATTATGATTTTACAGATCTAGGTTTCTTACAGCAGAAAACATAAGCAACTAATCATATAATCCCAGTTGAGATAACATACATACTACATATACTCAGCTAGCGGTATTTGGCAAGTGTAGCAAAGTGGCATATTGCAGCTAAAATTACAACAGTTTACAGTTAGCAAATGTTTCTCCAATTCATATCACCAACCAGAATTTCTACCAACATATCTAATTCACTAGTGCACTTCACCTTTCCGAATAAAACCATAAAAATCACGATAAAGAACATCAAATCAAAAATGTTTTCTCTGAGATAACAAGCAGATATTATCCTACAAATATCTCAATTAAAAGACGGGAGCTTCTGTTTCTTTCTTACTTCATACTTATCCCTATAATCTCCTCTGTCTAAAGGTCAATTGCAATTAAAATGGCTTAAACTGCAACAATCAGGAAATTGCACACGAGATCTGATTTTACTCAAAAATGCAAAGAAAAATCCCTTTGATTTCAACTACTGAGGAGAAATCTTGCAGTGGGTAACAGTGTGTTAACTACATCATGGCATGTCAATTATACGAGTCATAGACAGTGGTTTATGCCGTTTCATATTGCTGTTTGGCTATACATAATCCGCTCTTGTACTTCCATAAGAAACACTCCATCCCAAATATATGTCCTTCAAAAAGCATACAGTTTAAGAAAACTTAAAAGTAATTGATAGAAAGCATAGCATAAAACTGAAGTACAGAAGTTGTTTTCTATAATTAACAATTAGTATAGTCAATTCACGGAGGCACTGGAGGTTGGCAAACCCATATACGAGCATCGACAAGACCATGATCAGTAGGTGAAGAGAGAAGCTATGCAACTAGACAATTATATTTACTTGTACATCTCAATGTTACTCCTTCCCCAAGTCCCAAATCAAGATTACTCTCAACAATATTCTCAATTATTCTCGAGTAACATAACCATTGAGAATATTCTACCCAATATTTTAAATGTTTATTGACTTTCTACCCCACAAACTCAAGATGATGAGTTAACTTGAGTTTGCTTATTTTATAAAGAAATCCTAAAACATCACCGGAAAGAAAAATGGTGCTACAATTCTTTCTCCAAGAAAGTCAA